GGCACGACGCCAGCATCGCAAGGAGCGCCGACGTGTCGAGAGCTTGCCTAGGTCGCCCATGCTGAGGCCCATCGCGCCATGGAGGCCCATCGCCCTGCATACCACCACTCTTAGGCTTGGAGGCGTCGATGGGCGACCAACAGACACCGCACATGCCTCCATTCTTCTTGATACGAAAGTCGAACGCCCAGTTCCCACACGACGCGCAAACCGAGTATGGGCTCCTGCGACCAGCTGGCATCGGTCCGTGCTGACAGACTCTGGACGGCAGCGCGCAGCTCCCCGTACAGGTCTCGAGAGAAAACGTCGGGCTGAACAGCCCTGGCACTGCCGCGGACTAGCGGTATCCACTTGTTCCCCTGAGGAACTTAGCATCTTGAGCCAAAATGGCTACGGAAGGAGGAGGAGGAGGAGGAGGAGGAGGAGGAGGAGGAGGAGGAGGAGGAGGAGGAGGAGGAGCGAGGAGCGAGGAGAGGAGGAGGAGGAGGAGGAGGAGGAGAGGAGGAGAGAGGAGGAGGAGGGAGGAGGAGGAGGAGGAGGAGGACGGAGGAGGAGGAGGAGGAGGAGAACGGAGGACGAAGGAGGAGGAGGGGGAGGAGGAGGAGGAGGAGGAGGAGGGCCATGGTAATACAAAAAAGACACGGGTATATGATACAGAGACGAGTTCAAACATGATGTATGCAGTAGGTGGGCCCACTAAAGAAACAGCGTGCTAGCAAGTGCCCGCGGATATGGCTTATCACCCGGCGGCCCCTGGGACATGCAGAAGCCTGGGGACCTCTTCGAAAGCTCAGAGACTGTCGACAAGCGTGCCCTCCGATGTCTCAGAGCGGAATCTCTGATCGCCTCGCGAGCTCGGGGGCCAGCTGTACTTACGATACGCACCTCGTGGAGGCCAAGGCCAAGGCCAAGGCCGCAGGGGCCATGCAGGGCGCGGCAGCCGCGCACGCGGAGGCCGTGAACGAGCAGGGCACCGGTGACGGCCTCGGCCCGCCGGTGTGCGCGGTTCTCGTGAACCTCGTCGGGCAACGCATGACGGACGAGTTCTCGGGGCCCAGGACCGCAAGAATCTGGAGGCTCCTCTTCCTCCTCCTCCTCCTCCTCCTCCTCCTCCCTCCTCCTCCTCCTCCTCCTCCTCCTCCTCCTCCTCCTCCTCCTCCTCCCCCCCTTGCTCCCCTCCTCCTACCTCCTCCTCCTCCTCCTCCTCCTCCTCCTCCTCCTCCTCCTCCTCCTCCTCCTCCTCCTCCAACTCCTCCTCACCCTCGTTTTCACCTTCGTCGTCTTCAGGGTCGGCGGCACCGGCCGTAAGGCCTTCGCAATCTGGAGGGCCGGATGCAGCTGTTCACCGAGCGTGAGCCGTGGGGCCCGGTGCAGAGGTGCCGCGTCTGTCGCCCCGAGCGGTGCCATGACGAGAGCCGCGCGAAGATCGTGACGGCCCTCGTGAGGATCGAGCCGCGCAGGCGCATGCGCCAGTCTTCGGAGCAGATCGGGGCGGTGACCGCGATCGGCCAGGCGCCCGCGGGGTACAGTCGGACCTAGGCCAGAAGAGCCTCCTTCAAGATCATAAGACCCTCCGCCCGTCAAAACACAGAGGACATCCGAGGGTAGCCCTCCCCCAGGATGCGCGAGAGCATCCAACAAGCACGAAGAGCATCAGGCTACCCTAGGGTACCCTCCCCGAACCGACCTCGGTCGTATACCTCGGTTCGACTGTACCTGGAGAAGGAGCTGGGAGCGCACGTCGACATGCTGAGCGGCGCCCGAGGAGGTCCGCCAGCGTCCCGGCAGGAGGAGCGAGGGAGCCAAGTAACCTTGGAGTTGTTGCTTATCTGCTTGTGATTGTTCGTGTTTTATTAGTATTATTATTATTATTATCATTATTATTATTATTGTTGTTATTGTTATTACTAGTATTATTAGTATTATTATTATTGTTATTATTATTAGTATGATTATTATTATTATTACTATTATTATTATTACTATTATTATTACTATTATTATTATTATGTATTCTTCATTAAAAAATTATCCCGGCAAAGCAACCTAACAGCGATGTGTAGAAGCATATCTGAAAGCATTCCCCTTAAGATTCAAATGAAAATCCAGTTGTAGAATTCTGCTGTTCTCGCAGTCGTAGTCGCATTCGCGATGACAGTCGCAGCGGCAACGGCAGTCGCAGTCACAGCCTCAGCCTCAGCCTGCCTCAGCCTCAGCCTCAGCCTGCCTCAGCCTCAGCCTGCCTCAGCCTCAGCCTCAGCCTGCTTCAGCCTCAGCCTCAGTCTGCCTTCAGCCTCGGCCTCAGCCTCAGCCTGCCTCAGCCTCAGCCTGCATCAGCCTCAGCCTCAGCCTCAGCCTGCCTCAGCATCAGCCTGCCTCAGCCTCAGCCTCAGCCTGCCTCAGCCTCAGCCTCAGCCTGCTTCAGCCTCAGCCTCAGTCTGCCTTCAGCCTCGGCCTCAGCCTCAGCCTGCCTCAGCCTCAGCCTGCCTCGGCCGCAGCATCAGCCTGCCTCAGCATTCAAAATGTGGCCCAGGAATGGAGTTCTGGGAACTAGAAGAACACGAAGTGGCCTACAGTTGGCTCCGGGCATTCAAAATCATGCCCAGGAATGGAATTCTGGGAACTCGAAGACACGAAGTGGCCTACAGTTGGCTCCGGGCATCCAAAATGTGGCCCGGGAATGGAGTTCTGGGAACTCGAAGAGCACGAAGTGGCCTACAGTTGGCTCCGGGCATCCAAAATGTGGCCCGGGAATGGAGTTCTGGGAAATCGAAGAGCACGAAGTGGCTTACAGTTGGCTCCGGGCATTCAAAATGTGGCCCGGGAATGGAGTTCTGGGAGCACCAAGAGCGATTTAGCGAGGATGTCCCAAGCGATTTCGGCTTCGGCGGCAGCCTCCCCGGGTCCCGCCCCGACCCCCCTGAGGAGTCATGATGCTCTCTTTTGAAACCACTAGAAAACGAAACACATCCGAACAGAGGAGGCCAGAGTTCGCTCGAGAGTCTCGGGCTTCCGGCGGCGCCTTCACAAGAGGGGGGGCGACCGCGGGACCTCCGTGCCGAGCTCGTCGGGGGGCGGGCTGTTCTCCCGTGCGCAGGGGGCTGCGCTGCCGGGGCGTGGCCGCGAGATCCGCTGGCGAGCAGTGCCGGGTGGCGAGTTCGGAGTTCGCTGGCGGGCGAGCTGAAGCAGCGTGAAGGGTCCTCCGAGCTGCCTGATGCGAAACATCGGGTCGCCCGCGCCTGCTCCACGAGGGGTAGAGAAGGGCGACCAAAAGCCGGAGGAGAACGAAGCTGAGGAGCAGGAGGAGGAGGAGCAGGAGGAGGAGGAGGAGGAGGAGGAGGAGGAGGAGGAGGAGGAGAAGGAGGAGGAGGAGGAGGAGGAGGAGGAGGAGGAGGAGGAGGAGAAGGAGGAGGAGGAGGAGGAGGAGGAAAGAGAGAGAGAGAGAGAGAGAGAGAGCGGAGGAGCAGGAGCAGGAGCACGATCCTCCCACTGCATGCCTCTCCTGCCTCTGCCCTTCCTCACTTCCGCCTTCCTTGTCTCCATCCCTTTCCTCGGTGCGCTACCTCCCTCCGCCAGCGGTGCCGCCGTCGTCCTCGTTGTCATCGACGTCCTCGTTCTCCTCCTTCTCCTCCTTCTCCTCCTCCTCTTCCTTCTCTTCCTCCTCCTCTTCCTCCTCCTCCTCCTACCATGTCCTTCCGAATGCTGATGCTTCTCATCCTCCCCCTCCTCCAAAATCGCTCCGCCGCCGCTGCTTCAAGTCGTCGTCGCCGACACCGTCGATCCTGGTCGCCGTCGTCATCGCTCCAGGAGGAGGATGACGACGACGCCGACGAGGACGAGGTGAATGAGGTGGTGGCGTAAATGGGCGGGGGAGGGAGGGGAAGGAGGAAGGAGGGAGACGGGAGGATGGAGGGGAGAAGGAGACGGGAGGACGGAGCAAGGATGATGATTAGGAGGACGGAAAGGGGGCAAGGAATGAGGGAGGAGCAAGTGGGAGTGGAGAGGATGCGGGGCGAAGAGACCCGATTGATTTGGGCTGGGGTAACAAAGGCGCCCACTACTCCAGTCGGCGGAGTGACCTGGAGCAGACCTGGACAGAGTGCAGAGGACACGGCGAAGATCGGAGCGAGTCCACGCTGCGACTACGGACGGGGGCGACGGGGCATTTCTGGTCCACGCCCACAGCTGTGAGCTCAACCGTCCCACACATAATCAACGACACCGCGCAGTGGGGCCGACTGGCTGCATGCACCACGGCATAAAGTGCACTGTGCAGCCGCAGCCTACTCACAGAGCGCTTCCCCCTCTCGCTCCTCCTTTCAATGTCCTTCTCCGTCCCGCAGGGCACGGGACAGAAGAACACCCTACAAGAACACGAGAGCCTCCGCCGGCCCAGCCGAAGACCATCCGAGGGTGCCCTCTCCCAGGATGCACACGAGCATCCAGCACACGCGAAGAGCATTGTGACAGAGAACAAGCCATGTCATTTCAAACTCTTCAATGTTGAGTTAACGGCGTCACTAAATAATATTTTCTTCGATCTCACTAACCAACATCTGTATAGCTTCGATCTCCCCTCCCCGAACCGACCTCGATCTTATACCTCGGTCCGGCTGTCGTATTTGGGGGGCTTGCGCCACCATGCGGACAAGCAGAGGGCAAAGCCTCTCAAGGGCTTCGAAGTCGCACAAGGGGGCGAACGACCTCCATTTCCTCCCTCCCCTCATCCGCCGCGGAGAGGGGTGAGAGGATGGGGTGGGGTGGGGAGAAGGGGAGCGGGGGAGGTGGGATGCGGAGGGCTGGGCGAGGGAGGAGGGGTGAGGGCCTCCTCCCTCCTCCCTCCTCCTGCCCTCTCCATCCACCCTTCCCTTGGGTCCGAGGAGGAGGGTGAGGAGGAAGAGGAGGAGGAGGAGGAGGAGGAGGAAGAGGAGGAGGAGGAGGAGGAGGAGGAGGAGGAGGAGGAGGAGGAGGAGGAGGAGGAGGAGGACAACGACGACGGCCTCCTTCACCTCGGCCGCGAGGCTCTCGATCATGTGGATGACCCTGCTCTCGAAGTCCGCCGAGGGCGCCGGGGACTTCTTCCCCGGGTGGGCCTCCGCCGCTGGCGTGGCCACCGCCGCCGTCGCTCGCTCGCTGCCCCGACCTCGCTCGCCGCGCAGCGCGCGGGTCAGAGCTGCGGCGCCCGAGCCAGCACGTGTCTCTCGCGCGCGCGCTGCAGTGAGCCTCGTGGGCGCCCTGCTGCCGATGGCGTGGCAGCTTCATGGGAGCAGTACGCTGCCGAGGATCCCCCCCACACACTGAGTTGACATGTGGCGCGTTTATGCCGGCAGTGCGTTGAGGATGGGATCAGGGAAACCACCCGCTGCGCACCATGCCTGGTGTCGTGAGGGGGAAAGGGTGGGTTGGAGCGAGAGGGAACGGGGAGGAATGGCGAGAAGTGGACCAACCCCTGCGCATCGCACGGAACGGCCACGCGTACCATGCTTTGCGAGCGTGTCATGGATAGCCGCCGCGCTCAGGGACCACTCCCTGCGCAACCCATCTGGTGATGAGGAAATGCCACGCCTGCCACGATTTGCGAGCGAGTCACGGTCAGGAGCGGCGCTGAGGGACCACCTCCTGCGCGCTCTCTGGCGCTTGAGAAGGTGCCACGCCTGCCGCGATTTGCGAGCGTGCGACGGGTCGCGCCCCCCACCCCCCTGCGCGCCCCCACAGGCGTCAGCAACCATGTCACGCCTGCCACGCTGTGCGAGCGCGCGACGGATAGCGCCCCCACTCCCTGCGCCCCCCCCCCTCTGATGTCGAGGAGGGGTCATGCGTGCCACGCTCTGCGGGCGTGCGACGCGTAGCGCCCCCACCCCCTGCGCCCCCCCTCTGGTGTCGAGGAGGGGTCATGCTCGCCACGCTCTGCGGGCGTGCGACGCGCAGCGCCCCCGCCCCCCGCGCGCCTCCCCCGGCGTCGAGGACGTGCCGCGCCTGCCACGGCGTGCCAGCGTGCGGCGGATAGCGCCCCCACCCCCTGCGCGCCCCCTCCTCCTCCTCCTCCTCCTCCTCCTCCTCCTCCTCCTCCTCCTCCCTCCTCCTCCTCCTCCTCCTCCTCCTCCTCCTCCTCCTCCTCCCCTGGTGTCGAAGAAGTGCCACGCCCGCCACGCTGTGTGAGCGTGCGGCGGCATGGCGCCCCCACCCCCTGCCACGCCCTGCATGCTCGTGTGTGGCCGATGTGGGCACGTCTGCGTGTGTTGCGTAGGTGCCTGCGTCCGCGCTTGCTGCGAAGGTGTCTGGTGTACCCGCGTCAGCTGTATACTGACCTTGTCTGAGGTCTGATGTAATCATGTAGCACTCTAGTGTGCGTTCACGGTGGATCGTGGTCCCAGAGGCTTGAACGTAGCGTAATTTACGGGAGATCGTAGCCTCGGGGGCGCGACGCCAGTGTATCTTGCAGAGGATCGTGGCTTCGGGGGCGCGAGTGTCGTGCAATTTGCCAGGGATCGTGGCCTCGGGGACGCGAGCGCGGCGTAATTTACAAAGGTCAGGAGCGCGAATGTGGAGCAATTTGCAAGGGATCGTGGCACCAGAGGCGCGACTGTATAATGATTTGCGAGGGATCGCGGCCTCGGTGGCGCGAACACGGTGTAGTTTGCAGGGGATCGTGGCTTCGGGGACGCGAACGTGGCGCAATTTACAAGAAATTGTGGCCTCGGGGGCGCGAATGCACTGTAATTTACGAAGGAGTATTGCGTCGGGAGCGCGAATCTCATGTATTTGTTACATGTCCCACGGCCCCCTGGGAATTCAGGCAACGCGATTTGGGGGTGGTAACCGGACGTCAGGCGCTTTTCAGCTCCCCCCCCTCGCGCGGACTTCAACACTTTACGATAGGAAGCAGAAAGCAGGACTGTAACATTGGGGACTGGAAACTGGAACTGGTGCAAGGCACTGAAACCTAATCCTCGCAGCCTGATGGCCCCATAAGGGGGCCGGCTGATTAATCCTCCTCCTCCTCCTCCTCCTCCTCCTCCTCCTCTCCTCCTCCACCTCCCCCTCCTCCTCCTCCCCTCCTCCTCCTCCTCCTCCTCCTCCTGCTCTCCTCCCTCCTCCTCCTCCCTCCTCCTCTCCTCCTCCCTCTCCTCCTCCTCCTCCTCGCCCTCCTCATCCTCCTGCTCCTCCTCCTCCTGCTCCTGCTCCTGCTCCTGCTCCTGCTCCTCCTCCTCCTCCTCCTCCTCCTCCTCCTCCTCCTCTGGCTCTGGTAGCTGGCCCAACAGAACCACCGCTCACGCGAAACACACGCCTGTGGTGTGTCTGGTATACGTGCTTGCCTTTTCGGCCTTACAGTCGAGGCGTTGACCTAAGGAACCCTAAATAAGGAACGAAGCCCATATTTTTAATAAGTTGAACTTCGATTTCGTATCGAAAACCTAAAGAAATTCCAAGGCAGGCTGCGAAACAAGTAAGGAACACGGAGCCCCTCCCCAACGAAAAGGGTTCCTTCTTCAGGGCCCCGACTGTAAGCGCGTCCAAGACGACCCACGGAATCCCCCAAGACCGCTCCAAGACGGCCCCCAGAGAAGGAAACAACTCGAACTGACATTTGAAACCATTCACCCCAAGATGGCCTCCGAGACCACCAGACCCCCTAAGCGGCGCCCAGGAGGCCCACAGGAGGCCACCAACAGGTCACCAACAGGCCACCAAGAAGCCTCCAAGGCGCCCCCAGAAGACCCCCAATGTGCATCTTAGACTCGAAGACGACTCGTGCCCACGATCCAGGCACGGCAGGGGTGCTTGGCGTGTCAGACGTTCGATTACCTTGTGGCCCTTCCAACATGTTCCACGTGGCCGTCGGACGACCCCGCCAGCACCCCAAAGTCAAGAGCACTCGCCTGCAAGATAGCCAGGATGGCCCAACATGGCCTCCAAGAGGATCCCACGATAACTCTAAGACGGCCAAGGTGGCCCCAGGAGAGACCAAGATGGCCCAAGATGCCCCCGAGACGACCCAAGATGATCACAAGACGGCACGATGCGGTCCAAGACGGCCTTCAGACGGCTCAAGAGGTTCCCGAGATGGCCCAAGATGGCTTCCTGAGGTTTTGAAGGATCTAGTGCTCCAGACCTGCCAGGATCCCGACGGCCCAAGATGGCCCAGGAGGCCTCCAAGCTGAGCCCCAGACAGCCCCATAGGCCACCAAGGGGACCCCACAATGGCCCCAGAGGACACCACGATGGCGCAGCCGAAGGCGGCCTCCAAGACAGCCCAAAAAGATCCAAGCGGCATTACAATCGGGGCGCTGACCTAAGGAACCCTAAATAAGGAACGAGGCCCCGTTTTTCCATAAGTCCAACTTCGATTTCCGATCGAAAACATAAGGAAAACCTGAGGCAAGCTGCGAAACACTTAAGGAACACCGAGCCCCTCGCCAGCGAAAAGGGTTCCTTCCTCAGGGCCCCGACTGTACAGTTTGCCCAGTGCGCCCCCCAAGACGGCCCAAAATGCCCACCAATTGCGCCTTCACGGCCCCCCAAAGGGCGCCCTGGAGGCTCCCAGGGGGCATAGAGGCCCACATTCTCCTCCTGCTTCTCCTCCTCCTCCTCCTCCTCCTCAACATCCTTTCTCCCCCAAGTGCTCCCGGAAGGACTTCCATAACGGCCAGGGGATCACATAGAACCAACGATTGGCCAGACTCTGGCCCAACGTTTGGCTCCATGGCTGTGTTGCCCCCAATTGTACTCAAGGGCCACATCCCAGAAATAATTTCGAGCACCCCGAAAAATATTGAAACTATGTCGAACTTGTATCGCCTCCCAGAGCCCGTCACGTGAAAACCCTCCAGATTCGGTATTGCCTTGGTGCTCGACGTTCTTTCTGGTGGTCAAAGCCAAAGTAGGCTGGAACAGGAAAACACCATGGGCGTTTCCAACAGAACAAGGGGGGGGGGTTCGTCAGATGCGTCTTCCATGTGCAATCGAAGTGTGCGGTTGTTTTGCGGGGCATCAACAGCGAAGCGCTGCGCGTTGAGTGTGCTCTGGGCGCGCGAAAATTCACCTCAACAGCTTGAGACTTGGAAGCCTTTGAATATTCGAAGCTGAGTTGCACTCGCCTGAACCAGGTGCTAACTACCGATCCCCCCCTTCCGACCCATCCCTTCCCCTTCCCCGACTCTGCCATTCCTCCCCTCCGTCCTTCCCTCCCTCCTTTCTGGTCCTCCCTTGCCTCCCTCCATTCTGGTCCTCCTCCCCCCTCTTCCTCCCTCGTTCTCCTTCGGCCCCTTGCTGCTCTACATCCCTCCTCGCCCACGCGCCTTCAGCTTCATCTCAAACGGAGCCTCGGCGATGTTGCTGTCCTGCCTCTTGACCGCGGAGTACTTCCTCCAGGCGACCTGGCGCATGCAGTCTGTGTCTGTGTCCGAGCGACGCCCGCAGCAGTAGTAGGAAGGCACCAACTATACACCAACACCGATCCTGGCCAGGATCACCCTGGGCCCGGGATCGGTGTATACGCCCTCCTGCCTTGGTCAAGAAGGCATATACACCGATCCTGGGCCCAGGGCGATCCTGGGCCAGGATCGGTGTTGGTGTATACTTGGTGCCCTCCGAAGTAGGAGGAATGAGTGGGCGGCGACGTGGGGCTGCTCTGGATGGGCGAGCGAGACGGCGGTGGAGCGCCGCTGCGGCAGCTGCTGTGTCCGAGCGATGCCCGCAGCAGTAGGAGGAATGAGTGGGCGGCGACGTGGGGCTGCTCTGGATGGGCGAGCGAGACGGCGGTGGAGCGCCGCTGCGGCAGCTGCCGCGCCTGCGGAGCGAGAGAGAGAGAGAGCGGCACGCTCCCGACCGCTCGCCGCGGCCAGAGCGCCGAGAGGGCGCCGCGAGCGCCCCACATAGTGCGGGATGACGATTCGTAAACAAATGGGAGGGAACGATTCAAAACATAGTTTTCTGCGGCTTCTGCACAACCTTCTGACTGGAGGAAAAAAACGATACAAAAAAGTTGTCCAGCCCGCGGCCGGCCGGTTTTTTCTCACCGTCATCCCGGGCGCCGCCGCGTGAACACGACCCCCGGTCATTTATCAACCATCATCCTCCCTCACTTTCCCGAGGGCGCACCGTCACACGCACTGCGGCCCTCCCGAAGGACTCATCCTGCAGCGTGAGCCGCCGCCGAACGCCCAGCTGCAGCTGCCCTCTCCCCAGCGAGGGCGCGCGCTAGCCCGGCACGCTGCACGAGGAGGAGCTGCCAGATCGGCGGTTGCCAGCGGTGCCCCTGGCCCAAGGTGCCCCCACCTCTTCGCTCCATGTCTTGCCGTCGCTCGGACGTCCATGTCCCGTGCGTGTTTCGATGCCGTGCGTGCTTTTTTTCTGCTCGATGGTCCAGGATGGTCCTCGATGGTTCTCGCCGAGAAAAAATGCACACGTCCGAGCGATGCCAAGATGTTGGAGCCCCTGGGGCCCTCTGGGCCTCGTGTGGGGCGCTCTCGCGGCCGTGGGGGCGGGCCTCCCTGGAAATCCTGGGGGCACCTCTCTTGGGCCCCTTTGGGCCCCTCTGGGGGGCCGTCTTGGGGCCCCCTTGTGCCGTCTCGTGCGCCTCTTGGGCGCCTCTTGAGCCTGCAGGGGGCGTTTTGATGCCGTCTTGAGGCCTCGTGGGCTGCTCCCGCCCACAGCACATTCCATCCCACGGCTCCACCCTGGGGGCACCTCGGGCCACGCCCGAGCGGGGGGGCTCTCGGCTGGCCCCCCGCGGAGCTCGTCCTGCCGCGGGGCACTCCGCGGGTGCAGCGCTGCTGCCTCGCTCCCCCGGGGGAGGCCGCACCAGCTCGGGGCACCAAAGCAGCACCTGCCAAGCAGCATCGCACGCTGGCTGAAGGTCCGCGCGGCCGACGACGACGACGACGACGACGACGACGACGACGACGACGACGACGAGGACGACGAGGACGAGGACGAGGACGAGGACGACGGACAACAACACGACGACGACGACGACGACGACGACGACGACGGATGACGGGCGACGGACAACGGTTGACGGACGACGGACGACGACCGACGCGACGACGACGACCGACGACGGACGGACGGACGAAGGAAGGAAGGAAGGAACGGACGAACGAACGACGAACGACAACGACGACGGCGACGACGGCGACACCAATCAGCATCACACGCTGGCTGAAGGTCTGGCATGCTCCACTCTTCGATTCCCTGAGGAGGCCCCCCGAGGAAACGCCACCCCGACACGCCACTGGGGAGAGGAGGGCGGACGCGGAGGAAGAGACGCCCCACGGAGCCTCCAAGCAGATGACCCCCGAGGAGGGCCCCCCCCGCCCCCGCGGGGAGCGCCGCCTCGAAACGCCACTTGGGAAAGAGAGAGACGAGGGCGGACGCGGAGGCAGAGACGCCACGGAGCCTCCAAGCAGATGCCGAGGCTCGAGCTCCAGCTCGAGCTCGAGCTCCAGCTCCGGCAGTCCTATAGTCCTACCACGAAACGTCCTTAGAGCCCTAAAATGTTCTAAGAACAAAAGCAATGTTCTTAGAACATAAGCCCGATGTGTCAAAGCAAGACCATATCAACCAGATTTGTTCTAAGAACATTCCGTGGGAACCACAAAAGGTTCTCAGAACATTGATCGGTAGGGCCATAGGCGAGCCAGGGCGCTTCAAGCACTGCTTGAGCGTAGGGGGCGCGGCGCCGCGCGCGCGCGCGTCGGCCGCCGCGGCGGGAGGCCGCGGGAGACCTGCTGCGAGCTGCCTGCGGGGAGCCCCGCGGAGGGAGGACCTCCTCGGGCCAGGGGAGAAGCCGCGCGGCCCTGGGCGGGGCGAGCTCCCGGGGGCCCCTGTTTCGCGAGGAGCGGGCGTTTGGGGGGGCCGATGCGCTCCGCCCCCCCCCTGACTAGATCCCCCTCCCCTCATTCCTCCTCCTCCTCCCCTCCTCCTCCTCCTCCTCCCTCCTCCTCCTCCTCATCCTCCTCCTCCTCCTCCTCCTCCTCCTCCCCGGTAGTTTTTTTCGGGTAGCACCTGGCTCATCCGAAGGCCCCAGGCCCCCGGGTCGGGACGATCTGCCCCCCCCCCCCCCCCTTAGAACGCCCTCGGCGAGGCGCAGCCGCTGAAGGCATCCCGAAGGCTGGAGGACCGCCAGGAAGCGCAGAGCGCCCGAAGACCGGGGACCCCGAAACCTCGAGCCGAACCCCCCCCCCCAACTCCTTCTTGCTGTGGCCGGCGTCCTCCCCTGGGGCTCACCGCCCGCGCGGCCCACAGCGCCGCCGAGCTCGAAACCGAAGGTGCTCGACAGGGGCGGAGGAGGAGGAGGGCGGGAGGGAGGGACGGAGGCAGGGAGGCAGGGAGGGAGGGAGGGAGGGAGGGAATGAGGGAGGAGGAGGGAGGAGGCGGAGAGACGACGAGGAGGAGGAGGAGGAGGGGAGAAGGAGGAGGAGGAGGAGGAGGAGGAGGAGGAGGAGGAGGTAGGAGGGGAGGAGGAGGGAGGAGGAAAGGCGTAGGCGGAGGCGGAGGGAGGGGAGGAGGAGGCGGAGGCGGAGGGAGGAGGAGGAGGAGAGGAGGCGAGGAGAAGGCGGAGGCGGAGGCGGAGGCGAGGCGGAGGCGGAGGCGGAGGCGGAGGAGGAGGAGGAGGAGGAGGAGGAGGAGGTAGGAGGAGGAGGAGGAGGAGGAGGAGGAGGAGTGAGGAGGAGGGAGGAGGGAGGAGGAGGGAGGAGGAGGAAGGGGCGGAGGAGAGCGGAGGAGGAGGAGGCGGAGGCGGAGGAGGAGGAGGAGGAGGAGGGCGGCGACAAAGGAAGACCAAGAGCCTGGAGGATGTACGCCGCGTAGTTGGCTGCACCGCTGGCCCGCTCCCCGCGCCGCAGCGCGGGCGGAGGGGTCGCGGGGAGCACCCCTGGCGGCGAGCTCGCGGCCCACCTGCACGCCCAGCGGCCGGGGAGGACGACGAGGACGACGACGAGGACGACGCCGACGGCGACGAGGCCCACCTGCACGCCCAGCGTCAGGGACGACAACGACGAGGACGACGGCGAGGCCGACGCCGACGGCGACGAGGCCCACCGGCCCACTTGCACGCTCAGCGTCCAGGGACGACGACGAGGACGACGACGAGGGTGACGGCGACGGCGACGAAGACGAGGCCGACGCCGACGGCGAGCTCGCGGCCCACCTGCACGCCCAGCGGACGGGGATGAGGACGAGGACGACGAGGATGACGCCGACGGCGACGAGGCCCACTTGCACGCCCAGCGTCCAGGGAGGACGACGAGGAGGACGAGGCAAATGCTGACGCCGACGAGGCCCACCTGCACGTCCAGCGGTCAGGGAGGACGGCGAGGAGGAAGACGAGGCCGACGCCGACGCCGACGAGGCCCACCTGCACGCCCAGCGTCCACGGAGGACGGCGAGGAAGACGACGAGGACGACCAGGAAGACGACGAGGCCGACGCCGACGGCGACGAGGCCCACCTGCACGCCCAGCGGTCGGGGAGGAGGACGAGGACGACGACGAGGCCGACGCCGACGGCGACGAGGCCCACCTGCACGTCCAGCGGTCGGGGATGAGGGCGAGGACGACGAAGAGAACGACGAGGCCCACGTGCACGCCCAGCGGTCGGGGAGGAGGACGAGGACGACGCCGAGGGCGACGCCGACGGCGACGAGGCTCACCTGCACGCCCGGCGGTCGGGGAGGAGGACGAGGACAACGACGAGGGCGACGCTGACGAAGACGACGACGACGACGACGACGACGACGACGACGACGACGACGACGACGACGACGACGAAGGCCACCTGCACGCCCAATGGTCGGGGAGGAACCCGCCCGCGGTGGCGAACTTGCAGCGTTCCGTGCTCTCCGCGAACCACTCGAGCATCCTGGAGCCCGGGGTATGAGCGGCCAAGATCGGGTCGGAACCAAAACGAAAGGACCGAACCGGCACGTTCGGAATCGCATCGATCGGGGCGTTGACACCGCATCGGCTCGACAGGATCGGAGTGGGCCCTGCAGGGTCGCTGAAGGCGGCCCATGGGGGGCGGGAGCTCCCCCCCGTCCCCCTCCGTGGTGTTCGAGAATCGCGATGCCGATTTCTAGGAAGGCACCAACTATACACCAACACCGATCCTGGCCAGGATCACCCTGGGCCAGGATCGGTGTTGGTGTATAGTTGGTGCCCTCCGAGATTTCGTCTGCTGGATGCCCTGGGCTGGCGTATGCACACCTTCGCCTGCATCCGGAAAGGCAACTGCCCGCACTCTGGCACGCCTCCGTTGCTCGGGGCTCCGCTGCCCGGAGCTTGCTGGATCATATCCTCCTCCCCCTCCTCCTCCTCCTCCTCCTCACCTCCTCCTCCCCTCCTCCTCCTTCCTCCTCGTCCTCCTCCTCCTCCTCTCCTTCTCCTCCTCCTCCTCCTCCTCCTCCCTCTTCCTCCTCCTCCTCCCTCCTCCTCCTCCCCCCTCCTCCTCTCCTCCTCTCCTCCTCTCCTCCTCCTCCTCCTCCTCCTCCTCCTCCTCCTCCTCCTCCGTCTCATTCGGCCTCGGTGCTTGAGGACCGCGGTGCGGCGTCTCATTCGGCTCCTGACGCGCTCAAGTAGACAAAGCCAGCACCGCGGCAAACCCACGGCAAACCTTGCGTCCGAGGCGGCGTTTACCCCGGTGGCCGAGGCGCCCTCTCAAAGACGGGACGTCGCGCGTCGAAGCAAGCGGCGCGGCGACATGCTGAGCCTGCTGCGCCATCTCCAGTCTTGACCGTGCCGTTCCCCTCGTGCTGCGCGGGCTCGCCCCTTGGACCTCGGGACATCGGCCTCTCCGAGGGTACCGCTGCCCCTGTTTGCGAAAACCGTTCGGACAGCTCGAGCACTTCCTTGCCGTCGCTCGGACGTCCATTCCCCGTTCACTTTTCGGTTTCGTGCGTGTTTTTTTTTTGCTCGATGGTCCAGGATGCTCCTCGATGGTTCTCGCCGGGAAAAAATGCACACGTCCGAGCGACGCCAAGCTTCCACATGCGCGGCCCCAGCCCGCTCGGGTGTCAGCTCTGCGGCGCGTGGTGCTTCGTCATTGTCGCTGCGGCGCGATAGACACTTTGAAGCTGCAGCGGTGTCGAATGCGCACCGCGCCCGCAGATAGGGGAGCAAGCAATGGCAGAAACATGAAACTCGGAGGTCCGCTCGGATTTCGCGGATCGGGGCTCGACCCCCCTTCCCTGGCGCGCTCTGCGTGCCAGGGGCGGCGTCGGAGGCTCCGCCAGGGGGCCCCAGCGCCGGTCCGAGGAATCCGCGCAGGCCTCCGAATGTTCATGTCTGTGTCATTGTTCGTTCCCCTGGTAGACCCAGCAGGGGGGGTGCTAGGCGAATTGTGCGCACGATGTTTGATCAGCGGCGTCTCGGAACCGAGTTGCGGTCGGGCTGCGACAGGAGGCGCTCGAAGCAACTTCAGGCACAGGCGGCGAAGGCAGGCTAGAGGAAAAGGATAATAATATACAGTGGGCCGCTGAAGAAGGAATCCTTCTCGTTGGGGATGGGGCTCCGTGTTTCCTGATCGCTGTGCAGCTTGTCTGACATGTTCCTGAGGTCTTCGATGGGAACATCGGAGCGTAACTTATGGAGAACAGGGCCTCGCTTAGGGGTCCACATGCGAACCCTACCCCTACCCCCCACGATTTCTGAGGGAGAGGGTAGGGTTCGCTTCGCTCGGGAGCTCCCCGACGAAGTGAACCCCACCCTCCCCCTCAGAAATCGTGGGGGGTAGTGGTAGGGTTCGCATGTGTCGGCTACTCGCATGTGTCGGCTACACGCTCCTCCTCCTCCTCCTCCTCCTCCTCCTCCTCCTTCTCCTCCTCTTCCAGCCAGCCAGGGCACGAAGCAAAGAAGAGGCCATCCATGAACAAGGTGTCGCAGGAGAGCCAGACTGTCCATGAGCAGGCGGGAGGCGCTCCGTGGTAGCCAGCGGGCCACGCCAGGACTTCTGGCACACGCAGCTAGCCAGTCAACGACGAGGTCGGCCGCGGAGGAGAGCGGGAGGAGGCCTCAGGCGTCGAGAACCCTCGCCGCGAAGAGTGCGCAGGCACCGACGGCCAGTGTACCCACGAGTGTGCGGCCAGTCCAGGCCGCCGGCAATGGAGGCCGGCGCCGTGATACCCCGGGGAGGCAAACCGTCATCCGCTGGGCGGCAGGCGACGTGCCGTGTCTGAGCCAGGACCGTCGGCGGCCGTCATCACGTGGCGTGGCGTTCTGGAGGTGGCCGGGCTCTGCCAGAGCATGCTGTGCACCGGCATCGGGGCGGCACAAGACCAGGGCCCAGGGCCTCGCCGAGGTGCGCCTCGTTCCAACGCGGGAGGCAGACACGCACGATAATGCCCGATGACGCCGATGCCAGGCTGGTCCTTCGATGGCGACATGCTCGGTCACCTGGCGACCCTGCTGAGGGCTGGGCTCGCGCTCCCCCGCATGCTGTTCTCCTGCTGAGCGGCCTGAACCACGACGCTCTCTCCCTCCTGCCCCCCCCCCCCCCCCCCCCCTGGCCCTCCCCATCCCTTTGTTACCACAGCCGTCTCCTCTCCTCCTCCTCGCGGGGCCAACCGACGGCGGGTGCACGGAGCTCCTGGACCGGCTCGCGTAGCGCCGGATGCACTCGACCCGAAGCGCCCTCTGGAACTCGGGGAACTCAGTCAGGAGGCTCGCTCCTATCCGTGAGGACGTCCGCAGGCGTCGTCGTCGTCGTGGTTCGTCGTCCTCTGCGACGTCCGAGGAGGAGGAGGAAGAGGAGGAGGAGGAGGAGGAGGATACTGAGCAGGATAAGGAGGAGGAGGAGGAGGAGGAGGAGGAGGAGGAGGAGGACGAGGAACAGGGGAGGGGGGGAGGAACAGGAGGAGGAGGAGGGAGGAACAAAGAGGGAAGGTGCAGGGACGCGGGAGGAAAGGCGAGCGACCGATGCCCGAAGTCAAATAGACGTAGCACCCCGCAATTGCAGATAAGAGTGAGGGGGCGGGCGCGGGCGACGCGGGCGTCGAGCCGGCGGTCCTCGTGGCCCTCGCCTTCCCTGACGATGGCGCCCTCCTCCTCCTCCTCCTCCTGCTCCTCCTCTTCCTCGTCCGCGTCCTCGTCCTCATCGTCGTCGTCGTGCTTTGACAAGTTCAGCGCGGGGGGGATCGCTGGTGGGCCACCCGGAACGAATGCAAAAACAGCCCGCCGCAGGCGCAGAGGTAGTTTACGCAACCTACCTCTGCCCCCCACGACGGTAGCATATCTGACGCATCTCCAACGCCACGCCAGGCCGCGCTGCATGGCGATAGCGCGCGAGGGTGCACCGATCTGTCGTCGACACAGAGGGCCCGAACCAAGGTGGGGGGGGCGAAAACGTAGTAGCCACGCCCGCTGAGGTCCCTGGAAATCTCGCCCCCACTGCACTGGTCAACCGGCCGCCAATCTACGAAGGAAAAGCGCCCTGGGGTCAAACGGCACTTCGTGCAGGGCCACTGGCCATTTCGCAAACGACACAACTTGTGGCCCGATCGGGCCTCCTCTTCTGAGTCCTGGGTTCGACCCGAGCGGAACCCCAAACTGGCCGCGGTCAGAACGGTCCCATTCACTGCTGGTCTGGGCCAAAATCGTCCCGATCCTCTGGTGCGCTAAGATGGCTCTAGCATCTAGGATGTTCAGGGCTTTGATCAGCCCACGGATGGGGTCGGTGGCGGCCTCCGCTCCTCGCTGGGCCAGCGTGTCCGCCATCGCATTACCTCGAGAAATATAAACTGGCTGTCCCGTCCTCAAGTGGGAATCAACATCCAAGTGAGAAAAGCATTTCTTGACCTGAACTCTGCCCCCCCCTGGTTTCGAGGGCTCGGCGAATTCGGCCCCACCGGCGCGCTAGCGGCCCCCGGGGGGTCTTCCCGAGGCCCTGGGTCCAGCCGAGGAGCTGCTGGCAGTCCGCCCACAGGAGACTGGGCCCCGCGGCGACCTTGAGCGCCCATAACAAGGCCACCAACTCGCTGGCGGGCACAGTCTGGTCCCCGTCGATGGTCCCATGCAGCCCGCGGAGAACGCCTTTTTCCACGTCCAGCTCTGCCTCTCCCTCATCGCGAAAGTAACCCCCCCCATCCGACCCGACAGACGCGAGCATCGCTGGACGTGGCCGAGCCGTCTAGGAAACCTACTTGGACCTTAAGGGGGTAGGCCTCGGAAGGGAGGGGTCGGAGGAGGAGTCAAGGTCAGGCGGAGGGAGACCCACAGCCCAGACCTCAAGGCCGACGCCAGAGTTCCACTCGGGAGGCGGGGGGCGCAGGTTTCCACTCCTGTGGCGCTATCCCCCTGGTCCCAGAAACCGAGATTCCTGCCTGCTGGCAAATCTTTTGCGCTGCCTCACATAGCCTGTCTGCGCGGGCGACCCACTCGTGCTCGATCAGGGCGTTCTGGGCGCACTCGTACAGGCGGTGGGCCACGGTGTCCTTCCCCACCTCGCACCGAGGGCAATAGTCGTCGACCTGATATCCAAATGCCTTGGCGCGGGCCCTCGACCATGCACATGCCAATGCGTTTGCCTCCAGCGCGCCAGCTTCTGGTAGTGGCCCCTCGCGCCGGGGCCTCCTCAAGTTCGCCCTCAACATGTGCATGTCGCCGCCTTCGCCTGGACCTGCACCAGCCGGGCGTTCGCCAGCTTGCTTCCACAACTCGCGTCGAACTGAAGTCCGTAATGCATGTGGAACTTCCGTGTAGCTCCCTGTAGGAGCTCCAGTGTGTTGCCACTCATCACCTGCATTGTCTACCCAAAGATCTGGAACTCGCGATAGCCATCCAAGGTCTCTGGGCGTCAACATCAGAGCC